AGTATGTGAGTGTGTGTGTGTGTGTGTGTGTGTGTGTGTGAGTGTGTGTGTGTGTGTGTACATACATGAGTATGAGTGTGTGAGTAGGAGTGTGACCACCTCTGTGCTTGTGTGTGTGAGTGTGCTTGTGTGTGTGCACGTGCGTGCGTACGCGTGTTTCTGTGTGTGAGAGGGTGTGTGAGTGGGAAAGAATGAGTGTAGGTGTACAGGACAGTGCATGCTTGTTTAAGTATGTATGAATAAATGTTCCTGTGAGAGTGCACATAGCTTCTTCCAAAGAAAGTATAATCAGTTGAAAAGAAAACTCAAAGAACTAATATAATGAGAAAGCAAATAGCATAACAACTACTGTCGAAATTCTCTGAGATGGCTACCCAATGTAGAGGAGAAAAGTAGCTATCTTAAACAGTTAAACGTCTTGGTCAGTCCTTTTGATAGACCAAAAAAAACTCTTTAAAGGTGGAGATGGGAAAGGGGGGGGGAGAGGAGGAGGTAGTGGGAAATGGCCCTTTGTACGGGTGGTTGTCTTGGACAGGTGGCCGTTAGAGCCGGTTCGACCGTAATAAAAGTACGTAGTAGTAATAACGTGGATGCAACAATGCCAAAAAACATGCCACACATTTTTTTCAGAACGTCCAGAACATGAAACACTGAAGTGCAGCAGTATACATTATGACACCGAACAACTTGTGGTTTAGAAACATAAAGTGCAATAACATCAAGCAATGCACATCAACACATCAATGCACAAAATGTAAGACAAGTAGAACTTAAGAGGGCGGGAGGTGGTGCAGAAAAGTGGAGCACCCACAAACAAACAAACAATCAAACACCGAAAAAAAATATAGGTCATAGACGTGTATTATAATATCAAAGACTGTTCACTCTAGTGCAATTCCAGTTCACCACGGAATGCACCATTTGACTCTATTTGGAACCAAATGAAGGGCAAGGAGCGAAAGGCTGAGTGCGCACTATATACTAGATAATGGCTAGGCAGATGTTTTGCCCTTCATTAATTGTGCTTCCATGGTGTGCACCAGAACAAGAAGTCTTTATAAAGAGCAAAGACTGGCGGCCATGACAGTGCGTGCCCGATCTATGATAGATCTATCATAATGCAGGTCTAAAATAATTTTTTTTAAAATATATTAGGCAAAAACATCAAAATTCATTCTGTCTTTGAAATCGACCACTTTCATTTTGTTTCGTTATAACGTTTCCCTTGACTTTACTTTTAGATTTAAACAAAAAAGACGGGCAAAACTTATACTGAAACGAAAGGGGCTTGGAAAGCTTGAACAGTCAGATCAGATTATTCTGATATTGTAGCACATCTTTAGCAAACGATTATACTCGCTTGAGCGTGCTAATACTTACCACTGTGGAATGGCAGAGAGAGAGAGAGAGAGAGAGAGAGAGAGAGAGG